AAGATTTCTCCTCTAAACCCCTGCTGGCGACACCCAAAATGTGTTTATTTTCACTTTTGCTGATAAATGGTAAACAGGACAAATAGAGAGGGTGAATCTCCTGAATGAGAGCACAGACAGCAATAAAAAAATGGCAGATGTTCTAATCCTTCTCCACTCTGCCCCCCAAAAAAAGTTGTGTCTTTAGTTATACTTTAAATGCATCAAACTGAAAGTGACAAAAGCAAAGAATCGATTTTGTGATCTTCTGATCAATTTTTACTTTGCCACATCAACCATCCATGGCAGAATTAACAATTGTTTCTGATCAAACATCTGCAAAGTATTAGCGTGCCAATTGTAATCCAGATTGATCAAATGATTGTTTTTAATAGAACATTGAGGTTTTTTTTGTTTTGGTTATACAAACCCCTGTGAAGGCACATTCTGTAGATAAAACAAAAAATATGCATTTGTTAATTCCTTGGATTAAAGAGCTGAATCACACGTGTGGTGCAGATTGAAGCTCAGGTTTCACAGCTAATTGACAGTAGTTGTTCAGCAGTTCATGTCTGGCTTACACCAGGTTCTGGACAGGATTTTATCCTCTTCACACATGTGCGGTTTAGAAACGGTTCCCATAGAAGTCAACAGCCTGTAATTTGCACCTGAACCTGACGACACTGCTCAGAAATCATACATTACTTTTTCAAACCACACTGTCAGTGCACCTTGACATATGTGAACAGGCAACATAGGAAGCAATGTTATTTCACATATCATGCGGTTCAAACCCCATCCAATCCGCATACGTGAACTGGCATTCGGGCCTGCAGAACATTGTACCTGCAATCACTCCATCTCTCTGGTGCAACCTACAAACTCATGCATGGTTTACAACCAAGCACAGTGGCTAAATGGTTAGCACTTCCACCTGGCAGTACTAGGGTCGTTGGTTCGCATCCCAAATACGGCACCACCTGCCTGGAGTTTGCATGTTCTTCCTGTGCCTGCGTGGGTTTCCTCTGGGTACTCCAGTTTCCTCTCACACTCCAAAGACATGCTGGTAGGTTAATTGGGTCCTGTCTAAATTGGCCCCAGTATGTAGAAGTATGAATGTAAGTTAGGGACCTTAGATTGTACGCCCCTTGAGGGTTAGGGACTGATGTGAATGTACAATATATATGTAAAGCACTGTGTAAATTGACAGCGCTATAGAAGTACCTGTCATAAATAAAAATAAATAATAAGCCCAAACTCCGTTCGGAAGTATGGATCTACCACTATGGGGATGGAGGAAAACCTATAACAGCATGATGGCACCACACTTGTGCTACAAATCTACAAATCCCTCTGTGTCGGCAGGTCTATGAATGGATGATGTGGGTGGAGCAATGCACAGCTGGGTCAAATTTAAACACAGACACAAGGCTGCAGGGAGAAGCACCCCGTCATTCAGTTAAAGGGGGGGTGGAATATGACTCAGTTTTATGGTACACCCATATTTAAAAAAGTGAAGCAAGCCTTTAAGTCCATCCCACGCAGAGTGTACATTTGAAGGAAAGGGCTGGGAAAGAAAGAACATGATAGACCATAAAAAACATGCAGCCAGGACCGTATTTTGATACCACATTGCCCTAAGCACTCGTAAATGCATCTGACGTACTAATGCCAGTGCTTGTATCATGCGATTATGAAAAACTGATACTAGAAAGCACTATTAAAGCAGACCTTCACTTCCCTTTCTTCTTTGAAGAACCTTGCTCCTTCCTTTATCCTTTAATTAAAGATGTGGTATTTTTAGGGGAGCACAGTTTACACTTCCATCTGTCTCCCCTAAGCAAGAATAACATCCCCAGCTGTCCAAAGCCTCCTGAAATACTCACATCATGCATCCCAGGAGGTTTCAAGGGGTACTGCAGGAGACACTGTGCACGCGCTGCCATGTGTCATCGGAGGGCCAGCTGCAGGAACCCAGAACATACAGCCAACTCCTGGTGACACAAGTGAAGATGGAAGTGTGGGACTCACTGTACGGCAGCCTTCCACAGGTAACAGCAAGCCAGTGCTTGGATGTGCAAGTAACTAGGTGGGATGGGGGGACATTCCTCTCTAAAGTTTGCATGGGGTCTACTTTATCATGCATAGTGGTCTATACAAGTACAATGTACATATAAAAAGGAGAAATGGTGTTATTGCTCCTGAACTATAATAATAAAAAAAAAAAAAAAAAAAAAAAAAAAGGGTATTTGGCATCCCCTGCAGCTTTCTTGCTAAATTTAAAAGATAAGTTCACATTTGAAACAGGTTACACATTCCACCCGTTTTTAGGGTGGAACAGAGGGTAGAACATGTAACATGTTCCAGACCCTGCCCCTGTTCCCCCCTCCCTATGACAGCTGGCAGGGGTTCTTCTCCCCTCACCCACTATGACTTTTTAAAAATAGCAGGCTCAGCAGAGCTTTACCCACACAGCCGCATTATTTATTCACAGATTCCTGTGACTGAATAAACTACAAGTACCGTCTTCCACTGTGGCAGACAGACTTGTAGTTTCAATGACCTGCAGATGTGCTGATCAGAATACACCCATAGTTCATTCACATTGCCTACAGCTCTGAAAATGCTTGGGAAGGATAGAAGAAACGCCAGGTATCCAAAAACCGTAACTTTGATGTGTAGTATGTATCCTTGAAAACTCATCTCTTCCAAATGCCCCACCCTATTAGATTGTAAGCTCTTATGAGCAGGGCCTTCTTAATCCTCTTGTTTTGATTCTATTGTAGCTGTATTGTCTCCCTTTACATTGTAAAATGCTGAGCAAACTGTTGGCGCTATATATGTCCTGTATTATAATAATATTATTAGTTAATGTACATGTTTACACTTTTCGCAAACATCATACACACCATACTTCAAAGTTGCAGCTTTTTGGACATCGGGTGCTCCTTCTATCCTACCCAAATCTTCTCACTGAAATGATCACAGGCCCGTATTGGAAAGGTAACAGGCCAAGCCCCTAGGAGGGTCAGCCACCATTGTCAGGCATATTTCACTGGAAAGGATTTCTTCCTCTTTGCCCAAAATCATTCACCCACAACCAGTGAGTGATCCAGTCAGTCCAGCACAAGCCAGATACAACTGACAGCCAGTACACAAGTACGGGCAAAAGAGCTGTAGGCAGTGTATGCAGGAGCCTGCTGATCCTGGGTGCAATACTTTGCAGGGTCCTGTATTAAAAATAAAAATGCACTTTTTTTTAACCTGCAGAAATATGTGCATTTATTATTTTTTATGTAACGTGAACCACAAATGAGGCTAAAAATTCTCCCTTGTAGTGGGGCTGCCCCAGGCAATGCAGCTATGGTCCCAGTCTGATGACCTTAGACCCCCGCCACGCTGGCCGCCGATTTTCCTAATTCCCCTGGCAGCAACCCTGCCCCGCCCCGCTCTGGTAGCAACCCGGCCCGCCGCCGGCAGCAACCCTGCCCCGCCGCTGGGCTGCCCCGCCGCGCCGCTCTGGTAGAAACCCTGCCCCGCCGCTCTCTGGTAGCAACCCGGCCCTGCCGGCAGCAACCCTGCCCCGCCACGCTCTGGCGCCGCCGGCAGCAACCCTGCCCCGCCACGCTGGCGCCGCCGGCAGCAACCCTGCCCCGCCACGCTGGCGCCGCCGGCAGCAACCCTGCCCCGCCACGCAGCAACCCTGCCCCGCCACGCTGGCGCCGCCGGCAGCAGCAACCCTGCCCCGCCACGCTGGCGCCGCCGGCAGCAACCCTGCCCCGCCTACGCTGGCGCCGCCGGCAACAACCCTGCCCCGCCACGCTGGCGCTGCCGGCAGCAACCCTGCCCCGCCACGCTGGCGCCGCCGGCAGCAACCCTTTCCTAACACTGGCAACAACCCTGCCCCGCCACGCTGGCGCCGCCGGCAGCAACCCTGCCCCCTGCTGGTGCCGCTGGCAGCAACCCTTTCCTAACACTGGCAACAACCCTGCCCCGCCACGCTGGCGCCGCCGGCAGCAACCCTGCCCCGCCACGCTGGTGCCGCTGGCAGCAACCCTTTCCTAACACTGGCAACAACCCTGCCCCGCCACGCTGGCGCCGCCGGCAGCAACCCTGCCCCGCCCGCTCTGGTAGCAACCCTGGCGCCGCCGGCAGCAACCCTTTCCTAACACTGGCAACAACCCTGCCCCGCGCCCGCCAGCAACCCTGCCCCGCCACGCTGGCGCCGCCGCCGGCAGCAACCCTGCCCCACTGCTGGTGCGCTGCCGCGGCAGCAACCCTTTCCTAACACTGGCAACAACCCTGCCCCGCCACGCTGGCGCCGCCGGCAGCAACCCTGCCCCGCTGCTGGTGCCGCTGGCAGCAACCCTTTCCTAACACTGGCAACAACCCTGCCCCGCCACGCTGGCAGCAACCCTGCCCCACTGCTGGTGCCGCTGCCAGCAACCCTTCCCTGCCGCTCGCAGCAACCCTGCCCCCTTCCCGCGCTGGCAGCAACCCTTCCCTGCCGCTGGCAGCAACCCTGCCCCGCTGCTGGTGCCGCTGGCAGCAACCCTGCCCCGCCACACTGGCAGCAATCCTGCCCCGCCGATGGTGCCGCTTGGCAGAAGGGCTGCATAAAAGCAAACAAAGGGCCACAGTTTGGAGACCACTGCCCTAGACTAAATGAGCAATTAATCACTCCAGTACAGGCAAGGCCCTACTACAAAGGAAGAGTTTTCAGGTTCCTGGAGATGGGATTGAAAAGTTGGCGGTGGCTCTTCTAGGCTGGTAGCCCTAGGCCCACATTGTGGTGAATAGAGCCCAGTGTACATGAAGGAACACAGGTGGCCCAGGCTGGGGGAGGGCTCAGGTAGGTAGCCAAGTGGGCAAGGCAAAGCTTGGCAATAACCACTCATACAAAGGGGGGGATGGGCGTGGGCACAGGACATTCTCTAGAAGGCTGGGGACAGGAGACATATACAGGCCTAGCAGTCCTCAGTCACACTGCAGTGTTAGCACAGCTGGATGGCTCCCTTTACCGCTATGACGTTGACGAAGGTGGTCTTCCCCGAATACTGCAACCCGACCAGCGTCAGCTCCATCTCCTCCTTCCAGAACAGGGACTTGAACCAGTCCAGCAGCTTGTTGATGAGGGCCAGCATGGTGCCGCCGAGGCAGGAGGACTGTAGACTGCTAAGTGCTGCTGAACGCGGCCGCTCCGACTCCCGGAACCCTACGGCTGCTGCACAGTCCCAAGCGGCCGTCAGTCATATGACTACCGTGACGTCACGGCCCAAAAGCACCGGCTTAGTAATAGCGAGTCAAGAGAGGAAGGAGGCACGGGACCCTGTCACGTGAGCGCGAGATCACATGATGCGCGTGGTACGCCCACTAACAGCAAAGGGCGTGCGGCTGACGTGACGGGTTATGGGAGGGGGTCATGTGCTGTACACTGCGGAGGACCTATGCCAGGGAGACACTTGTGTACAGTGTAAAGGCAGGAGGTGCATGACAGCCAAGGGCAAGGAAGAGCACACATTGACCACTTACCCTTGTGAACAAAAAACATTCACTGGCCACTTTATTAGGTACAATTGTTCAGTTGCTTGGTGACAAAAATTCCTAATCGGCCAATCACATGGAAGCAAGTCAATGCATTTAGGCATCTAGACGTGGTGAAGACGACTTATTATTATTATTATAGAGGATTTATATAGCGCCAACAGTTTGCTCAGCGCTTTACAATATAAGGGAGACAATACAGCAACAATACAGTTCAATACAAGTGGGATAGGAGGGCCTGATCCTTTGAGCTGACAATCTAGGAGGGAGGGACTTGCTGAAGTTCAAGCTGAGCATCAGAAAGGGGATTTAAGTGACTTTGAATGTGACATGGTTGTTGGTGCCAGATGGGCTGGTCTGAGTATTTCAAAAACTGCTGATCTACTGGGATATTCATGCACAACCTTCTCTAGGGTTTACAGAGAATGGTCCAAAAAAGAGAAAATATCCAGTGAGTGGCAGTTGTGTGGATGAAGATGCCTTTCTGATGTCAGGGGAGAATGGGCAGACTGGTTGCTTCCAACATTCAGATGGAAGGGTCAGAATTTGACGTAAACAACATGAAAGCATTGATCCATTCTGCCTCCATATCAACTGCTGGTGGTGTAATGGAGCAGGGGGTATTTTCCTGGCACTAGCAAGGTGTACCTAATAAAATGGCCAGTGTGTACATTCAAAAAACACCTTTAGCACCTTTTTAGACTTTCCGGAATGTTACACCCTTTTACCCTCTCTTCCCACAATCACAGCTGTCTGTATATGTACAGTACTGAGGCAAATATTTTAGGCAGGTGTGAATAAATGCTGTAAAGCAAGAATGCTTTCAAAAATATATATTTTAAGTCTTTATTTTTAGCAATTAACAAAATGCAAAGCAAGCAAACAGAAAAAAATCTCAATCAAATCATAATTGGGTGTGACTATCCTTTGGCTTCAAAGCAGCTTCAATTCTTACACCTGCACACTTTGTACACTTGTACAAAGTCCAGGATTTTGTAGGATTAAAGTCAGGTGTATGATGAACCAATTATATTAAGTAGGGGCTAATCATTATCAATTTCATATGTAAGTTGAAACACAGTCATAAACTGAACAGCTGTGTATACGGCTTAAACTGGGTGAGGAACAGCCAGACTCTGCTGCTGAGGTGATGTTGTGGGAGACAGTTTCATGTCACAAGTCATACACCATGGCAAGACTGAGCACTGCAACAAGATACAAGGTGTCTACATCAGCAAGGTTTACCTTGGGAAATATTTCAAAGCAGACTGGGGTTTCAAGATGTACTGTTCAAGCTCTTAAGAAGAAGCACAAATAAATGGGCAACATTGAGAACTGTAAATGCAATGGTCAGCCATTGAAACTTAATGCAGTAGATAAAAGACACACCATGCTTCCCTTTGACATTGAAAGATGTCCAGCAATGCTATCAGTACAGGACTGGTGGAAACCAATGGGACCCAGGTATACTCATCTACTGTCTGGAGAAGTCTGGCCCAAAATGGTCTTCATGGAAGAATTCTGGCCAAAAAAGACACCTCCAACGTGGAAACAAGGCTAAGCAACTCAACGTAACTTCCCTTTGACATCAGAAGATGTCTAGCAGTGCCATCAGTACAGGGCTGGTGAAAACCAATGGGACCCAGGTACACCCATCTACTGTCCAGAGATGTCTGGCCTGAAGTGGTCTTCATGGAAGAACTGCAGCCAAAAAAGACACCTCCAATGTGGAAACAAGGCTAAGCAACTCAACGCATCTTCCCTTTGACATCAGAAGATGTCTAGCAGTGCCATCAGTACAGGGCTGGTGAAAACCAATGGGACCCAGGTACACCCATCTACTGTCCAGAGATGTCTGGCCTGAAGTGGTCTTCATGGAAGAATTGCAACCAAAAAAGACACCTCCAATGTGGAAACAAGGCTAAGCAACTCAACTATGCATGAAAACATTAGAACTGGGGTGCACAGAAATGGCAACAGGTGCTCTGGACTGATGAGTCAAATGTTGAAATATTTGGCTGTAGCGGTCCTTTAAAACCAAGGAAGCTGCCATCTTAGCCTCTGTTTGATCTGCAGTTTTCATGGTGCTGCAAATGTGGTCAGTTATGATACCAAACATTTGATAGCCTGGCAGTTTGGTTGGGAGTTGACGTAAGCACACTAGTAACTGTAACAGCATCCAATGCATGCTTTGAATGTAACTGCTTTGGAAAACAGTTAAATCCTTGGGTTTAGTTCTGCTTAAGGGCTGGTTCACACCATGCCCGCATCAGAATTGCACAGGAATGCACTGGACGTTCATGTGCGATTTAAACTGCATGCAAAATGCACGACAGTTGAGATCTGCAGTGGCTGTCAATAAAGAGTTAATGACACCTCAAACACAGGTCGCATGTGCAATGCATTTGCCTGCACCAGATTTCATGGTACTTTTGTACCGTGCAATCCGGTTGCAGTTTAAAAAGTAGTGCATGTACTACTTATGGTGTGGTGCGGGGTGATTTCAGCTCATTCAAAATGACCCATGCAGGCATGGTGTGACTTGCAGGCATGGTGTTAACTGGCTCTTAAAGTGGAACTAAACCCTCCAATACTTTACATCCAAGAAAACTGCCAGCTTGGCCACTGTTTGATTTGCAATTGTCATGGTGCTGCACATTTGATCAGTTATGACACCATCTATTTGATAGCTTGACAGTTATTCACGGAATGCCTTGCTTGAACTGTCCAGGGAAACAGGCTTCGTTCACACCATGGTGCAGAGACATCACTTTTGATGCATGTGTTATGCAAGGCCACAAAGAAAGCAATTGATCTTTATGTGCCCTGTTCACACCACAAAACTAGTGTCACGTGTAGATTTTTTTTTTTCTGTACAGGAATCTGCAACATGTATAAAACTCACTGAAGCTCGCATGAAAAATTAAATGATGTAAACTTGTGTCTTTGCAAGTGAAATCTGCAAGTTTTTTACATCAGTTTTTCTGCACGTATGGTGTGAACAAGACCTTAAAGTAGTTTTAACCACTTTCCAGCTGCCCTATAGCAGAAGTACAGGGCGGCAGGACTGCGCAAAATCACGTATATATACGTGATTTGCATTTCCAGGTAGGGGGCACCACCCTACCTGTGCCGCTATATAGCAAAGACATGTAGCAGAATACATTTTGGCCTAAATTTATGAAGAAATTAGATTTTTTATTGAATATTTTTTATAGCAAAAAGTCCAAAATATTGTTTTTTTTTCAAAATGTCAACTTTTTTTTGTTTATAGCGCAAATAAACAACAACGCAAAGGTGATCAAAAACATCGAAAGAAAGCTCTATTTGTGGGAGAAAAAAGACATAAATTTCATACATATACTTATTTTACTCACTGAACTGTGTTTCTTCTGGGTTTGTGGTTGATATTCTCTATCATTCAAAATACACTTATGATAAAAATTATAGACCCTTTTTTCTTTGTAAGTGGGCAAACTTGCAAAATGCGCAGGAGATTAAATAATTATTACTGTATATTCAGTGAAGTGACTGGCCTCAAGTGATACACACAGATGAAAGAAATCTTTCTACATAAGTTGTACCTGTTTATCTATGGCCATCTTTCCCGTACATCCATTCAAAGTGCACAATTTACTCAGGATCTCTCAGCTCTGAAAAGCTAGGGGTGAAGAGCTGAAATTACACCAGTGAGGAGAGCTCTGAGAGCTGATTGTAGGGGAGGGACACCCCCCCCTCCACACAGCTTGCATAAACAGAGCTTAGGCTGTCAATCTGCTGGAGGTCCTTCCCCTGTCATCATTTATGTCTTGAAGTCGGAGACACTTGCCACAAGTGACTCATGCTGATAGCTGAGGAATGAAGCAGCAAACAAAAAATGACACTTATTGCTCTTAATTGAGACAAATATACACTATAGAGGAATATGCTTTGTCCATATATCATGCCTAAGGTTTACAACCACTTTAAATCAATGGGTTTAATCCCTCTTTAACCACTTTCCGCCCACCCGCAATGTACTGCGGACAGGCGGCAGCTACAGGCAAAGCGAAGTATGGGAGCAGCACTCCGCACCCATGAGTGCTGTGTCAGGAGGACACAGCTAAATGAAGAGACCCAGGACCCAGTGATTGTGTGATCGCTATGCGATCACACGATCACAATGTTAGCAAAGCTGTTATGAATCAATCTGATTCATAACAACTCTGCTTCTCTTCCTAATGAGCTGTGATTGGCCAACATCTGTCACATGATACATGAGGCCAAGCACAGTACCCTGTTCCATGTGACCAGCTCCAGCCAATCACAGATTACTATCTTGAGCTGTCAAAAACCTAACTAAACCTACTATGGTAAAATTGTACTATTCTGATAAAAGTATTTAAAATAAAAAAAAAAAAAAAAAAATACCGTATTGAGAATGAAAAAAAATTAAGTTTTTTTTTAACTAGTTGCCGACTCTTTACCTGCATTTTCTGGGCTCTTGGCAAAGCAACATAATCTTATGTTGCTTTTTATTTTGGGGTGTGAACACGCCTGCGCCCTCTGCTGCCCCCCGATCGGTCCAGGGAGAGAAGAGAGGCCACGGCACCAAGTAAAA